ATTATAAAATAATTGAATAACATAAACTAGCAACATTTCATTAATTCTTTAGAGCAAAAAGTATCATAAATTAAGCAAATAAATGAGGTGAGAAGCACCTCACTAAATAAATACACATAAATATAATATAAAGGAAACAAATATAATAGTATAAAAAAATTTAAAAGGATAAGTGTCTTCTCTCCCTTACCTTAAAATTGTAGAATTATCGAAAGTTAACTACTAAAATTTTCACTTTCTTTCTTTACTCTTTCTCTCTCTTCCTTGTCCCTCTTCTTTCTTTCTTAAGTTTACTCATTCTCTTGCTTATTTTTTTCTACCTTGATGGTCCCCCTTCCTTTATTTATAGGCCCATCTTTTTTAAAGTAACTATCTAGTTAGATGCATTTAAAGCATCCTTAGGTAGAGATAATGTTAATTTCTACGTACACCTGTAACACTTATCTTGCTGCAAGTTTTTAATTTTTTTTTTTATAAAAGATTCTCTCTTTTTATATACATATAAGGAATAATTATACTTCATTAATACAATTAAAGTATTGTTCCAAAAAAAGATTTAGATTTTAAGAAAATGTAATTGAATTTTTTTATATATCTCCAAAAAAAATAAAATATTATATTTCTATTTATTTTTCAAATATGGTAGCTAAAAATTTAGATTATTATAAGGATAATAATAATAAAATTGTGTATTATAATATTATACCAAAGATTTGGAATATCACACGTGCTCCTATTGTATTTATATTGACCTATTATGAGTGACTTGAGAAACCTTTGGTGTTCTCTCATCTCTCCTAAGTTTTACTAGTGAAACCTAATATCCATTAGTACTTGTGGAAGTGTCCTAAAAGACTCCAAGTGTCACTTAGGCTTCCACTAGGGACTCGTCTAGCTTATTTTCTTTCTAAAAATGTTTAGTACTTGTGGAAGTGTTCTAAGGGACTGTAAGTGTCACTTAGACTTCCACCCTAAGGAATTCTAGGTATATGTTTTTACTTACTTTCTTTATTTCTTTACTCACTAGTTTAACTTCCAACTTCGTTTAGGGGCGTCCCAAGTTTATTTAGAAGACTTCCTTGCCTATTAGGGGTGAGAGCATACACACACTCAAGGATTTTGTGAAAATCTTTATCACTTCCATTTTTGCTTCTACTTGCAAACTTTTGTGAAAACCTTTTCAAGAAAAAATGAGTGATCATTCTCATAATAGTGTCAAAACTCCAATAGTAGTAGGAAGAGTACTAAAGAAAAACTTAAGAAACTTAGGAAATATATCAGAAAAAAAGAAAAATAAATAAAAAGAATAATGAAACAATAATAGAGTTGTAAGCTATATTAATAGTGGGAGTGACACTGGTAAACCTGAAGTCTATGATATGACAATGGGCCTCCTAAACCCAAAAGACAAGATGGTGAAGGGCCTTCTAAGCTTTCTAGAGGCAAACATATTGAAGGAATGTCAAGGTCTAAAAGCCAACACACACACTCACACTATTTCAAGTGAAGGATTTTATAGTAGTCACCATGATGATGAATATATACTATCAAATACCCCTTAGGAAACATAGGCTTAGGAAAGAGCAACACTCTCTAAGAGAACCTGAAGTAGACCTTCCTCCCTTACATTTAAAAGATAATGTAGAAGAATACTTGGATTGAGAGATAAAGGTGGAACAACTCTTCACTTGTCACAATGTGAGTGAAGAGAAAAGAGTTCCCATGGCTACCCTTAACTTTCAAGGATATGTCATATACTGGTGAACTTCCCTTAAAAGGGAAAGAAGATTACAACATGAGCCTCCAATCCAATATTGGAATGAGTTAAGAAGTGCCTTAAGGAGAAGACATATACCCTCTTACTATGAAAGGGAGTTAATGGACAAGCTCTAAAGACTCCAACAGAGAAGTTTAAGTGTAGAAGAATATAGACAACAAATGGAATTGCTCATGATAAGGGTTGAAATTAGGGAAGAAGAAAGGACCACCATAGCTAGATACCAAAGTGTCCTTAACCTAGAAATTAGGGACAAGGTTTCTCATCATAATATCCCCGAGGTCAAGGTAGAAGACCAAAGAGACCATCCCACACAAATTCACAACCATTCCTAAACAAAATAAGCATGAACTCAATCTCACATCATTACAACACACAAATGCACATCACAGTACTAGGCCTGTGTCTAGACTTTACCAAGTTAGACCTTTGTCTAGACTTTTCACACTACTCCTTTTCCAAGATTATTACGCTCACAACAAAAGATAACACATAGATATTCTTATTTTCAACTCTTACTCATTATTTATACTCTAATCTTCTATAACTTGTTGGTCACTAAGAAGGTGTCCACGGTGAGAATTAAAAATGATAGAGTGAGGAGTGTTGAGGTGAGTTATCAAAGAGGAGTCATTGAGTGAAAAAAGTTTGTTCCACTATATATAAACCTTAATTTGTTAATGAAAAAATTTAGGCGAGACTTGAAGATTGAATGTAAGTCAAATTAATCAAATTAGAATAAATTATGTGTCAATTTCTTTAAAGCCTTCTTCAAATAATCTTAATTCTCTCTCTCAAAGTTTGTTTCTCTCTTTAAAACTTCTTCCTTTTCTCTTATTTTCTCTTGAGTGTGATGAAAATTTGAAGACACTTATCACTCTTTAAGAGTGTGGCATCACCTAAGGGAGATCCTACCTTTCCCTATGTATTAGAAATGACTACTAACATCATTGAAAGCCATTGAAGGAGTCCATGAAGTTAAAGATCTGTTCGAAAAAATTGAAGGAAAAACTACATCAATCAAGTATCTCCTAAGATTTTCATGAATAGCCATGGACGATGAGTCTCATTTGGGCTTCTAGACGCTAAGGACTAAAAATTTTCTTATTTTATATTCTAAAATCAACCTTCATTTATCTTTTGAGCCCAATTAAAATATTAATCAAGCCTATAAAATAAATATTAATTAAACAAATTCATTATTATTAGTTTTCGAAAAATAAGATGTTACATGTACAATAGATGCATGTGTTGCCTCTCATCCCATTCATAGACAAAAGGTTTCTCATCATAATATCCCTGAGATCAAGGTAGAAGACCAAAGAGATCATCCCACACAAATTCACAACCACTTTGAACAAAATAAGCATAAACTCAATCTCACATCATTACAACACACAAATGCACATCACACTGCTATACCTTTATCTAGACTTTACCAAGTTAAACCTCTGTCTAGACTTTTCACACTACTCCTTTTCCAAGATTAGTATGTTCATAACAAAAGATAACACTTAGATATTCACACTTTAAACTCATGCTTATTATTTATACTCTAATCTTTTATAACGTGTTGGTCACTAAGAAGGTGTCCATGGTGAGAATTAAAAATGATAGAGTGAGGAGTGTTGAGGTGAGTTATCAAAGAGGAGTCATTGAGAGAAAAAGTTTGTTCTACTAGAAACGTTAATTTGTTAATGAAATTTTTTTTAGGTAAAACTTGAAGATTGAATGTAAGTCAAACTAATCGAATTAGAATAAATTATGTGTCAATTTCTGTAAAGCTTCTTCAAATAATTCTAAACTTAATAATTCAAATTAACTTAACATCTCACTTTTTTTAAGCCTTTTTCTAAATTAAATAATCTTTAAACTTCTAAGTTTTGAATGCAAAATATTTTAATTTAATTAAATTAATTTCACCCTACTCTATACTTGTTCAAGTCACTCGGTTAATATAAACATCATAGTCGTAGTCGATATAGCGTTTATAAAAAGAAGAGCAATCACTTGGATTATAAAAAGTCCCCATCAACCATACACACATTTAAAAAATTAGGTCCAGCTCTAATGAATTTGTCAACGGGGCTTCAGTTTCAAGACCTCGAGAATATTGAATTTGCTAGTAAGGGGGTGTTAAAAGGGTTGGCCTTAAGGAACCAATTAAATGAATCAATCCAAACCAATATAATTAGTTTAATTTCAATTGTCGGTTCATTCGGTGAATACCATACATGCAGCTTTATGAAGACATCCTAATGAACCTTGTTTCTAGAGTAGAAAAATAAATTAAATCAGCATATCTTCAGATAAGGATTACCATATGCAAGTCCAGTTATGTAAAAAGTTTCATATCAATTTCACTCAACGAGTATGGTGCTTTTTTCATAGATACTTTTGTGTATCTAATAATTATTAAACACGCCTTCAACTGTTATCATCAGTCACGGAATTTGCTTCACTAATTATTTATTGATGAAATGTTCACTGATATTATTGTCAAAATTTACTTTAGAGGAAAGACAGATCCTAGGAAAAGAAGGTTTGTAGTCTACTTTCTTGGCAAGAGCATAATATATTTGTAATGCCTTCTCCCCTTAAAAGAAAGAAGCTATGATGTTGGAAGGCTTCTTGCAGAAGAAATCGTATAAGATCTGGTATGTTAAAATAAACTTTCTTGAAGTAATTCTAAGAGTGAAAAAAAGTAACAAAATTTTAAATAAGCTTCTCAAAGTGAGAAATAAAAAAAAAAATTAAAGTACATTTTTGCATAAATTAAAACTACCTTAAAAATAAGATTACGGAGAAATTAACAGAGGAGAGTTTTTATAAAATAAATTTTGTATCATCTAAATTATAATAATATTATGTATAAAATTAGTGGATAAACGTTTTTAATAATAAACATTTCAAAGTGAGAAAACTAGTAAGAAATATTATAATATTTTTTTTTCAAAAACTAAAACTAATATATATATATATAAGTTAAAAATAAAAAGATTGTTTCATTTTTTTCCTTCTATTTTACCTTTTTAGCTAAAATTATTTTTAGAGAAGTTTACTTGGATACTTAGAAGTTGTATATTATATCATATATTTTAATAATTTATCGGAAAAGACACGTTTGAAGTTATAATAAACTTATTTTGTCATTTAATTATGTAAGCTACACCTCACCCCCACCCCCTTTATTCCATTAATAGTAAAAAAAGAAGAAAAAAAATCTGCTTTTCAGTTTTCAAATTCTATAGCGATGAGGCATCTGTTTCACGTACAATCAATTACTATATTCTCATTGGTTTGATATATTGAAGACAAAAAGATAAATCACCTCAGAGGGCCATAAATCTGGCTAAGTGTCACCTTCCAACTTTTTCATGGGGGGAGGAGGGGTCAACATTTGTTCCCTCAAGCTTTTCCAACCTCCAACAAGAAAGCAAGTTTCCTACCTTAATAATTGGTCATGATAATATTTATTTCCCTTTCGGCTACCACTAATCTATGTAGCAGGCCATGTTGAGAACTATAAATCCTAGCTACTACTATGTGTCATCTCTGTCACACCCCTCTATTACGTACAACCATGACACTTGTGGCTTTTGAAAAAGTTTTCCCTTACCAAAGTCAACCTTCTCCGCAGGTAGTGTCTACAATAATCGAAAGCCTTCATATATAATGGTGGTCGGTTCTGACAGAATTATGAGGAAACATAGAAGCTTTCCGATATATATATAATATTACCCCACCTAGTCTAGCAGGGTTATTATAGTTTCAAACTTTGGATCATACTTTTTCTTCAATGCACTGAGGTTGTAGCTTTTTTCTCGCCCTTCACAAGCCAAGAAATATGTAATATAGGAGAGTTATCGGTAAGGAAACTAACATGCCAAAGATAACCCTGCGAAAAAAAATGCAAATGTTACAATCTATATATATGCATTGCCCATATGAAAGTTAATACGGAAGCAAAAGCAATCTCTTACATCGTGAATAACGCAAATAACATTAGCTTGACCTAATTTGACTTAAAGGGTCACTAGAAAGGTATTCTACATAAGTAGGCATCAAATGGTGGAGTTAAAAGCCATACAATGTCAAGTTTTGCAAGAAAGCCTTCTCTAGGTTTTCAGTATCAAGAAAACTCTTGTCTACTAATGATTACTTTTCAACAAGGTAAAAGAGGGTGCTCGAAGATACTTTCAAGGTTAAAATTTTGAGGGAAATTCGTCATGAAAAGGTAAGTGGATTTTCGATCACCATTAGCACCCATAATTATGTTTGTCCAATCCAAATTATACGTGCCCTGGTTGTTATGGACAACCTGTTTGATAGATTCGGTATCCTAGCTAGAGCTGCATAATAATCAACTTATCATGTGGGGTAGGTTAAAAGTTCAATAGAATGCGTGTGAACTTACAATACACATTGCTTTGTCTTCCCATCATTTCATTTTTCTGAGTACATTATCCTCCAATCAACCTTCTACAATGAAAACAGTACCCCACTCGCACACAACTAACAAGGTGATATTGATCATTAAATTATCTTGTGGTCTAATTAAGAAAGTGAAAAACATTTTCCTACACATGTAATTCAATGTAGCCAATAACGAGTGCATGACATGCAGCATTGAAAATTTATATAACTTTACGAAGTTAGTTTTTGTATTTTAGTTTATAACCTTTTCAATTTAGGATGCTATACATATTAAATCATGTCCAAATAAGAATCTCTCATAAGTAAAATTTCCTAACTTACCCTGTGCTCAAAATATCAGGGTGCAGTCCATATTCCCTTGCAAATACAAATGGCACTATCCCCTGAGGAAGAGCAGCCTGAGAAGCAAAATTTTAGGCAAAGTTAAAAACATATGTACAGCAATTTTGGTTAATGGTTTAATAGGATATAAAGTTTTTCTTTAATATTCTCTCTATCTAATAATAAGTATCGTCATAAGTTATTTTACACAAATTAATAAATAATCTACTTGAATCAGATAAACTTCTCCAAAAATATTTATGAAAAATAAAAATAAAACAAAAAATCAAATAAATTTTTCTACAAGGTAAAGCTAACTTAAACATGAGTTAAAAATAAAATTTTAAAAGAACTAATAAAAAATAGTTTCTACAAAATAGTTTATATGCATAAACTAATTTTAACTTATAGAAAAATTTATTTAATTTTTTCTTTCTATTTTGTTATCTTAAAAGTATTTCTGAAAAATTTATTCAAAAAAACTTAATAACTAATAAATAAATGAAAGAAAATAATAATTTTATAAAATTAACCTTATTAATCATCTTTATTAAAGAGGATGCACCACAACAACTTTCTAAAAAATATTAATAGAGATATAAAAAAAAAGAAGATAATTAATACTACATTAAAATGTTAAAATAATATATATTTTTTTTTTGTTTTATACGACATTTATCATGAGAGGGAGTAACATTTATTACACTAAAGACACATACCTATTATTCTCATGTATATGAGCTATATTATAACTTTCATGTGCTGCATGTGGCTGCAGATGTGAATTCATTCCACATATATGTATAGTCCAAGTACCTGTACAATGGCAGTGTGTAGTCTGTCTTGTCTTAATCCAATTGCAATGGAGGTGGCAGACATTACAAGAGGGCCACAAAGGAAGCGAATGGCCATGCCTATCACAGCCCTTTTGGTACCGCAGGCTATGATACGAGGCTGAAGGGCCATGAAAAGCCCTGCATATTTGGCAATGAGTATCTGTCATTGTTTGTATACACAAATATAAGACGTACTCAATAAACTTTTCTATTTTAAAAAAATTATAAAAGAAAAATAAAACATGATTTAAAATGAACTTATATATAAATTAATTTTAGAATTTTTTAATATAATTCCTCAAAATTGTTTCAAATAAGCTTATAGTTAAATTAGTTTTAGTTTATAAAAAAAATTATTTCATTTTTCTTTTGTCCCATATGTACTTTTGAAAAACTTTATAAAATCAGGTCATACCGCCACCATTTCGGTATCATCTTCACAATATGATATCGCTTTCGTTTTTACCAGCTCCATTTTGCCTCCAACATCATGTGCTATCTCATTTATTTCATTGAGTTGCCACAAACACCAGAGTACATGACAACTCATGTGTTTCATTTTCCTCCTTAATTTTCTTTTGTCCTCCTCTCCAATTTGATATAGGTTAGTGGCATTGTGTAACGTGGACATATATAAGAAGAAACTTCATGGGGTGTACGTCTCTCTCTCTGTATGTATATATATAAACGAAACTAATATGAATGGTATAATTAATGATGTTTATATATTTGTGATGTACCTAAGCTAAACATGGCCATCCCAAGGCCCGCATCGGAGATGATTTTGACGGATGATTTGACAAGACTAGGCATTTCCATATTCCATCTGCAAATCCAAAATCATAAAATGCATGAAATATAGTGTGTTATATAGCTGTTGATATATATTACACTAAAAAGAAATTGCCATAGTGACATCAATCTTATAATGGCATCATATATATTATTAAAATTTTCTTTTACTTATATTATAAATATAATATATATTGTTATATTATTAAAAAGTGTAAGTATAAATTATAGTAACATATAATATATATTATTAAATCACATTCAAAATCAACTATATTTTATGTAACTATATATTAAATGAATTTATATTTAAATATATTGTATCTATGATATTACTATAAAAAAAAATTGTCAATACTACAGTACACATTTTATAGTGATGTAATTAATATTGGTCACTTAAAATTATTTTATCTACATTATAGATGTAATATATATATATATATATATATATTAACATATTATTAAAAAGTATAAGTATAAGTTATAGTGATACATATTATATGTTGTTAAAATTTTCAAAATTGATATCAAAATTGTGTATAGTTATATGTCAAATAAATTGATACTTACATATTTTGTAGTTATAGTGATATTTTTTGTATGTCACTATATATAATATTTCTTATAGTGACACTATTTGAATATTATATGTATTTCGTGAAAAATTTTATGTAATGTGATAAATTCTAACCTCAATATCACATGTTGTAGACACAAAATCAAATATACAGAAGAGATTTGAAAATGAAAATTTAGGATGAGAGAAATAGTTGTTTGGTCTAAGGTTTAGCTACATTTGGTAAATTCTAAGCCTCATCTTGACAATTGGTTTAGCTACGTTTGATAAAAAAAAGTTTGGTATATCATATCACTTACTTGAAAGAGATTAGAGACCAAAGAAGTCCTAATACACTAGAATATGTATTAGGGTTTCGAGAAAGTTTTCTCCCCACTACGACGAGTATAAGCCTCATCATGACAAAGGCATGTGGCATTTTTTGGTTATTAGCAACTGCGTCTTTGGGGCCTGTAGCTTCTCCTGGCATTGAGACTTTGGTGCTGTCTCTGAAGCTGATTTCTTTATCTGTCATAATTGCAAAAATTAATTAAAGTAGAAAAACAGTATTTATTTATAGAGAGAGTTTGAAAATAGAAAATTGTAATGATACATAAATATATGAAGCTCAATCTTCTTCTGCCACCTTTTAATTTCATGATTGTGTGTGAGTAAATAATTAGAGGGAGAATTTGGTGACAATTAACGATAGAAAATTTCTGTTTCGCACAAGTTGCTTTTAGACCAAAAAGTACTATTTATTTTTTTAATTTTTCGATTAGAATTAAAATTTCATATCTGTAGGATAAATTGTACTTAATTTTATTGTTTATGTTTTTGTCAATTCATAATTTTAATTTTTTATTTTAAAATAAAAATATTTAATTTTTTATTTTTTAAAATATAAAATTTGGATTCTACTATTAATTAATATTCATTGATCACTAAATTTTGATGTCAAATACTTATTATTATTTAAGTAACATAATATTTAATAATTTGACAAAAATTGAAAAAAAACAACATATAAAATGATTCTATTTATATATTTTTTAATTAATCATAAGTATTTATTATTTTATTAATAAATTTTATTTGTATTTTTTTATTTTTTTGTATCTCCAATTGTCATATTATTAAATATCACATTATTTAAGTATGAGTAAACGTAAAATGAACCAAAATTGATAGATGTCAATTTGATGAGATGATCAAAATTTTATACTTTTAAAATTAGATATTAAATACCTTTATTTTAATTAGTTGATCAAAATTGTAAATTGATGAAAAAAATAAAGAAAACAAGTATGCAATTTAGTATTATGTATTTAGCTATTCACAGTTGATCCAGACTTCTAATACATATTTATATAAAACTCTAATTATAATACATGTATAATTTACTAAATTTTGTCCTTCTTTGTATAGTTTCTCTACACCTCTCATTATTTGAGAAATTATTATGTGTCCGAAACATTAGCTGGTTATATAGTCTCAGTTAATTTTTACTGATACAAAAACCATATACAGTATATAATATTTTCTCCATGATGATATAAGAGAGATAAAATGAAAAGAATAATGACCCGGTGCGATGAATATAATGAATAATGAATGTGATGGTGTGTATATAATAGAAAGGATGTAAAAAGTCCTAAACATAAATAAATAAACAAATCTTATTCGCTCTCATTTTATCTTCCAGGTTCAGAAATGAAATTTTAGTGCCTATATATAATTCGGTGGTATGATTTGGAGGACTGTACACAATTTTCACCACCAATTAGGGAATCATACTACTTCGACCATCATTACACACGTGCTCTCTTCCAAATGATGGCTACTATCAATTAAGCTTCTGACTAAGCAAAGTGGCAAATTTATATATAAAGGTAAATATTTCTATAATGCTTTGACCACTTGTATTTTTTAACATTTTAAGTAGCTGAATGTTTTCTCACTTTAAAGATGGCGTGAGAGGGTGGGAGGGACCACCTGTCTAGTGCCCGATAGTACACTTGAGGATCTAAAATCAATTATAAGGCCATCCTGTTAACTCCTTTTGCAGAGTTATTTAATATGCATAGTCATTTCTCACGTGCATAGTTTACAGTTTATGATGAAACATAACAAAAGAAATGATAATTCGCTCAAAGAATTACTAAAGTTAGAATGATAAATTCGTAAAGGAAACTACTTAACTTTCTGTTGAATAAAAACTCATGCTTATATAACCTAAAATGTATGTACACCAAGTTAATTTTACCCTCCTTCCTCTATGGCTAGCTATATCTTCTAAAATTTCGAATTACCGACACATGCAGAATGCTAAATACAAAATCAAAGATAAATTTAATTATATAACCCACCATCTAAGACGTGGAATCTACATGGTTACAAAAGAAAAGTTAAGAAATTATAAAACATGACGTTCACATGAGAAATGGTGGTAGGTGTAAAGGACAAAGACAATAGCTGACGATGGTCGGGGACAAAACGTACGCCCAATGACTGAAAAGCTCGCATGGGCATGCGCAACCTCAACTTAGACCGACGTTTCATGTAATTCTGATTTACATGCCAAAACACTGCCAATAAAATGACATGTCTTCTTCCTCTCATTCCCGCTAAACGACACCGTTCATTCACGGGACAATTCTGATAATTAATGTATCTACTATTTCAATTTTAACACACGTGAGACTATGTATATAGCCACTAATATAATGTATATGTCACTGTGAAACTATTTTAGATTAGTTATGATACTACTTTGATCTTCGTATTCATGTATACTTACATTCGTAACAGTGTTTATAGTGAACATTATTGGCTTAAATTGTTAAATCTTTTATACCTATATGTGGCAATAAGTGTTTAATTAATTATGAGTTCCTATAAAGAAAAAATAATACACATAAAAAGTGAATTAATAAGAGAGTGTAAAAACTAGAATAAAAATAGAAATAAAAAAAGGCACTCACGCACACACGCACCTGACATAGTAATATCTTTGCAACCTTGTCTCTCTTCTCCAAGGCATTTTCCCGGCGACTCCCAGACCACCCTCGCCGCCGGAGACGACTGCCGGCAGACTCTCCCGGCGACGACCGGCGACCTCCCCCAGACGGGGGTGCCGGCCTCCATCTCGTTGAAGTTGGAGGCGCGCGGCGTGGGCTGCAGCGAGTAGGCGTCGGAGGAGGCGTAGCCGGAGAGGTGGGGGCTGGCGGCGGCGGGGAGGTCGCCGTCGTGGAGGTGCAGCGGCGTGTTGATCGAGAATATGTCGGCGTTGGAGAGGTTGGAGGGCCTCGGAGTGACGGCGGTGTTGCCGACGGAGGAGTTGGTCTCCGGCGCCGACGAAATGGAGCGGCGGATCCGCACCCGAATCCGGCCGTGGTCGTCGGTCTCGGACTCCGTCCGCAGCGGCATGTCGTGGCCGTCGAGCGATATGACGTCGCCGTCCACCTCGATTTTCGTTATGGACGCCGCCGCTTGCCCCGGGAACTGCCTCTCGATCAAAAGGGTCGCCGCTCTGTACTCGAACAGGAACAGTAGTAGAGTATACCTGAACTCATCGCCGTTGACCCCACATGTGTGTTCAGTAGAAACAAAAAAATAAATATAAATGCAAAGATATCAATCCCATTTATATATATATATATATATATATATATATATATATATATATATATATATATATATATATATATATATATATATATATATATATATATATATATATATATATATATATATATATATATATATATATATATATATATATATATATATATATATATATATATATATACACATGTATTTAATTATATATACGTGATAAGTGGATCCGATGTAGATAACATGCTTCTCATGATATTAATTTATCTTTCAAAACATTCATATGTATGTATGATTATACTCTTAAATAAAGTAATCTTAATCACATTTTTTACTTTTATTTTCTTCCATTTTTACAATTTCAAAAATTTTGTGATTTATTTTCTAAAAAATTACACATTTTGCCACTTAATTTTTAAATTTTTATACATTTTTATCACTCAAATAGTAATTATGTTCTATTATTATTAGTTAATCGCTCAATACTAATTAACACAAGTGAAAGTATTTTGTATATCTTAATTTTTAAATTTTTATACATTTTTATCACTTTTGATTAAGTGGTTTAGAATTTAAATTCCAATTTTATAATATATTGAAAAATAAACATTCATCTTATATGCGTTTAAGATTTTTAATGAAGATTGGTTATGTGACATATTAATTGTTGATATATCTTATTACGTTGATTGGTTATGTGAAACATTATGATACGTTATCTATTATACATATCACATTGACAATTTATGTCATTTATCGGTGTCAAAATATGTAGAAATTTGAAAATTAATGATAAATTAAGCGATTTCAAAAGTTTGAAAGTAAAATTGGCAAATTATGAAACTTGTTCGGGAAAAAAAAAAAAAAAAAAAAAAGAGAAGCAATTAGGCTTGTAAAGTAAGATAACATGGGTTTGGTTTGGTTACCATATGATGCATTGAAGGACTAGGAGTTGCACCATGAGGGATTGGGTGAAGTCGCCGTACATGGCTTGGAGGAGGGGGATACCCATGACGAGTGTGTTAGGCAAGGTGGCGAGTGAGAAGAGAGTGATGAGCCACTCCAAGGAGCCTTTGGCGAAGAAGAGGGTCCAAAGCGAGAGCAAGAGAAGCACGATGATCTTGGAGAGCGTGTCCGCTATGATGAACTTTGCGTCCATTTGGTATGGGTTGTTGAGCGAAATGAAGTGGAAGGAAAGCACCGGAACAGCGAACACTGCCACGAATCTGTTGATTCCGGAACATTGGTCGGGGCTGAACATCTTGCACCATTTCACCGAAACATAAGCCACCAACATTGCGAAATATAGCGGCACCATGGCGCACATCACCTTGTACAAATCGTCCCCTGTAATCATCGTATTGTTGTTGGTTCTTCTTATTATTATGTTTTGGTGTGAGTGAGGGAGAATTGGACCCAGAGGGTTTTTAATTTATAGGGCCATTATGGACCGATTTGCCCTTTGCTGAAAGGCTAATTTACTTGCAAGGTATTGTGATTAGTAGTATTTGCGGTTGTTAGGGTTAATGATTGGAATATATTACACCTTTCAGCGTGGCAAAAGTCGGGGCGGAGACCATGATATTTGGGAAAACTCAAAAGATCAACGGAATTACATAGCCACTCAAGTCATCTTGAGTTAGTTAAATTTCGAAAATTGTGACTTTCTTTATCATTTTCTTTTTCTTTCGCAAATACCTAGCATCATAAGTATGTTTTACAAGAACAGTTCTGCACATTTACAACTCAAACTCAAAGCCACTCACTTTGAATATGCAAAGAGAAAGGAAAATTGCTGAAAATCTGGCCAAAACAAAATTGAATATTAATTTAATTTTTCATTCTAAGGTGTTAAAGTCACTCACTCTCGTTTAACTATTTAAGACTTAAATTTGATTTTAATTCTTATAAAATATATTTTTTTAATATTTTTGAAATTTATAAACATTATTTTTTCTTATAAAATAAATAAATTTTAATTTTCATCACTGTAATTATTATTATTATTTCTCTAAAATTTAAATTTTTTTTTTATTCTTAATTATAATTTTAAAGTATATAAATAATATTTATTTTAAAAATATAAAATAAAATCTTTTAGACGTCTCACGCATTAATATGATATTATTAACATTTGTCAACAACAAAATAATTATATAATATTAAAGACTAAAAATAATAACTTTAAATTTAAAATAAATAAAAATAAAATATTAATTATATTTGTTTATTCTATTGAACTTACTCTTTTCTTAATTAGTAAGCTTATTAATTCTAATAGTTAATTTCTACCTTATTTAGATAATTTAACGTTCTCTTTCTCTCTCTTACTTTTTGCTGACTATATACTCCTTGCTCTAGTTGTTTCTAAACTAACAATTAATATGTTTAATGTTGGTAAGAGAATTTACTATCTTTTAGGGGATAAGAATTTACTATCTATGTATAAATAATTGGATTTTTTCTAAAATAATAATAATAAATAATTGAATTAATTGTATTTTTATTTTGTAAGCATTAAAACTGTATAATTTTAGTATTTAAAAATTTAATTGAACAATTTTAATCTCTCAAATATTTTAATTAATTTTAGTCCCTCTAATTAAAAGTAATAATTTTAGAATTATAAATGTCTACAAACATATACAATATTTTAAAATTATATATTTGTTGACCTATTTAAATTATATATTATAATTTTTATTTATATATAAAATGATATATATTTATTGTTACTAAATAATATATATATATATATATATATATTTTATAATATTATACGTAAATTAGTATCAATAATAGTATTGTTGTATTAATAGATAAATTGAGAATTTTA